GGGGGGGGGGGGGGGGGGGGGGGGGGGGGGGGGGGGGGGGGGGGTCTACGCAAGATGAACTGACGGGTGTGGTCCACCGTGCCTTGCCATAGACCGCTCTCTTTGGCAGAGAGCGGTGTGGGAGTTATTTTTAATGAAATGCCCATGACACTGTTTGGTTGGGTGGGGGACACGGACGGTACGGTGGTTAGTTTTCGTTGGGGAGGAAGGCATATAGCTAGCTAGAGGAGGGAAGGCCGATGTTTCTTTGTTGACTGTCAACATGGAAGGCGTCCAAACATTAGTAGTTAAGGCCAAACTTATCAAACCAAAGAAACAGACAAGTAGATGTTACACGGGAAATGCGGTGCATGACAACAAGAGGATCACAACTCGAACCAACTCCCCCATGTCTTCATTAGCGTTAAAACACTCGTGTCCTACCGTGGTATGCTCCGACCACTGGACCACTGCCCGTATCTCTCCCTTACCTGCCGCAGTGTCAGCGTCTCGTGCGTGAAGTTGTCTATTCGATAAGGAGCGAACGACGGCAGCTCATTTCGGAACACCTGCGTAGGGGAGAGGAACCGGAGACAACGCGCAACAAAGGCCGGTGGCGCGGGTCGGGAAGGGGTGCATCGTAAAGAAGACAGACATGCACGGAAAATTCAAATGGCGCGCGGAACAGCGTGAGGACGGCTGAGCTACGAATGCGTGTGTCCACAACGCACGGTGCCTGAGAACCTACCGAGACCATCGCGAAAACAAAACACAAGATGACGATGAAACAAATCTGTCTTTCGTTTCGACAGCCATACCACACACAAAGAGCAGCCTCGAAGTTTTGTCAAGCTTTCTCGAAATGAGCCGACGCGATGCTCGTGCTGCCCAGTTTCCACCTAGATCCCCACCGCCACCATCACCGTCACCGCCATCACCCACCAGGTGCACAGAGGACCGCTTGAGCGACGTCCCGACGCGGACGAACGCCACCTCTCTGGTGACCCTGTTCCTCACGCGCAGGGTGGTAACCCCTCTCCCCACTCCCCCCCCCACCCCCGCCCCCTCGGGCAGGATCTCGCCGGACCAGTCCCAGCTCCCCTCTCCGTCCCCGCTGCCGCCGCAGAATCGAAGCACCATCCTACGGTTCTTTGCTCCGACGGCGGCGGTGCCCCCGAACCAGCCGCTGCCGGCGCCTGCTCGAGGCCAATGGAACTCCGCCTGACCACCGCTGCCGACCTGGTAATTTATTCGGTGTCGGTACCAGTATTTTCCAAGAATGTCATGTTGTGTTTCGCCGGGAAAAGGAGGAGGGGTGTGGGGGAGCGAGGGCAGTCGAAGCGAGAACAGTTGAGTTTTTTTTTTATCGTTGAGAAGGAGTGGAGCTATATACATGTGGTCTCGGGGTGATTCATGTATCTACGACATGTCCGGGAGAGGATTAGACTAGTCATCACTTATTTTCCGAGCGAAGAGCACCACCCGCAAGAGAGGAAGGAAGGAAATGCGGTCGATTTACGGGGTCATCGTCATCGTCATGAAATCCCGGTAGTGGAAACCGACTCTACAGGCTTCGCACGAAATAGAGACAAGGCGACGACGACGACGCGCATGGGCAGAACCAGTCGCGTGCCCGACGGACAAGACAGATAAATAAGATAAGACACTAGTTTGGTGTGGGTCGGAAGCAGCGAAGAGCCGAAGTAGATACCATCGCTTTTGCTTGAGACAACCGGTGCGAGGGTTCCTGTTCGACTTCCGTGCCAAGCACACCTACCAAACTTAACGCAAGACTGCCTGTTGCACTCGCAAAAACAATTGGCATGAGTGTACTGTTGGCGGCGGGGGCGGCGGCGGGGGACAAGAGGGGGGACCAATAGGACACGAAAAGGTCTTACCGTCAGGGGCTCCACGCCCGCGGGCGACCCTGCCTGTTGGACCTGTATCGACCGTCCCGTCGCATTGACGATGACGTAGCGCGGAGCCAGAGCTACCACCTACGAATAAGAGAGAGGCACTAGGCATCATGGTATCGTTTTCGCTGGTTGGCTGCGGGCGTTGGGCAGCGTAGCGGTGGGACTCTAGGAGACGAGGGCGGGCAAGTGTGGCAGGACGATACGGATTTTGAGCATATGGAAACCGTACGTAGCAGCTGTCACAGGCAGGCTGGAAGGCAGGCGAGATCACGCTGTCGAGAAGGGGAGGGGGGGGGGGGGGGGGGGGGGGGGGGGGGGGGGGGGGGGGGGGGGGGGGGGGGGGGGGGGGGGGGGGGGGGGGGGGGGGGGGGGGGGGGGGGGGGGGGGGAAGGGGAAGGGGGTACACGGACGGCAAGAGGTGAGAATGGGGCTGGTCGTCGAGAGGTGGTGGGCACAACAACAGGACGCAATGTGATAGCAAGCTTGAAGCGATGAGAACCCAACAGCGCCGCCGCCCGCGCAACAACGTGTTTCCTTCGAGTCGGGAGGAAAACCAAGCCGCCGTGATTGCTTGCTAATTCTATATATGCAACAAGGTGGAGAAACAAAGCGAGAGGGGATAGAAGAGAGCAGGCAAAAAGAACTGTCGCGGTGCAACTCAACCGCACAAAAAAAAGACAAAAACGGAATGCAACATTGAAACAACCCTTGAGAAACGCAAATGGGGTGCGGGGGGGAGGCGTTTTACCTTCGTGCGATGAAAAGGCGCAGGGGCCGCCTTGATGCTAACCCCTACCGCGAACGCCTGCCTCGCCGCATCCTCTCGCCGCCGCCGACGTCGGGCCGCACCCCAACCCCACCCTTGTTCTTGCACTTGGTCGAGTTTCGGCGCGTGCTGCTGGTGCTTGTGCTTCCACTTCTGCTTCGAGACAAGCCCTGCCGGCGCAGCTGCTTCCGCCGCCGCCGCCGCCGTCGCCGACTCCCTTGGCCTCCCGCTGACCTCCAGCACGTGATTGCTGCCACCCTGTTCGACGAAGGTGCGCGATATCGGGCAAACCCAGATGGTCAAAAAGGAGACAGGAAGGGGGGGGCAGAGTTTCTTTTGGGAGGGGACTGGAGGCACAGTGTATCATCGTCAACACAGCTTACCCTGCAAGCGCTTTAGACTATGATAACTAGTCTGTTCGATGAACGTTGAGGTACAGCAGTTTCATGCCGGTGTAGCCCATCGGTGCGCGGCGCTTTCCGCATTCGTGCGACCCGTGAGGGTGAGGAGCACGTTTTCTTATTTTCTTCTCATCAATTGAAAACAACCGCCCACAGCATTCCTGCCAGGTAGGAGCTAGCTCCAACCCGTGGCTTAACAGCGGGGGTTCCTCCCTCTCCCTGAGGGCCCCTACCCACCCCTCTCGCTATACAAGCCGTTAGTTAACCCATGGCCTATTTTGCGTCCTTGCGCGAGGAAGCGCGCTCGCTCGACAACACGCCTCCGGCTGACGCCGCGCTTGACGTTGGGTGTTGAAGCATACAAGACAGTACGGCACTGTTACTACCGCCTCCTTCCGTTGTCCTCTATGGGGGGAACGACAACTAACGAAACTAGCTAACTTAGCTGCCTCACGGTCTGCGCGAATTTCGCTGTTCATCCCGTAGTGTTCTCAACAACAGCGGCAGCAGCAGCAACAACGCGCATCAGTTATTTGAAGGAGGTCGGGGAGCGCTTCGCTACTTCATCGCTCTACGGCTCGATCGATCGCAGAAAAAGGTAACATACATACGTGAACCAGTTTGTCGATTTCACAACATCTAAAGCATACGGGGAACGCCAGATTGAAACGGATAACAAAGACAACTGCGTGGGGGGGGGGGGGGTA